TAAAAAAATGATATCCTGCTTATCACTGAAGCAGCTCCAAATGAAACTACATACACAGGCTGGTTTATCACACCAGTGTCACTCACTTTGAACCCTCAGCTGAATCAGGAATATGCATTTAGAGAAACGCTGTGTCATTCCACTCATTCTTTGAACTGAGTGACTTGCATTTTTTGTCATTTAAAACATGCATGCAGGGGAAGCAAATAAACCATAGTAAAGAAAACGTCGCACTTATCCACAAATTTTGAGTACACATTGTTGATGTTGAATTTGTCATACTCCATGAAAATGCATAAGTGTTCAAATTGATTAATCTATTATGCGTTTCTAATATGGGTCATTGAATGGAAGCTGGCATTCAGAAGCTATAGATTCAAATTTATTTGAATGTATTCATGCAAGCCTTTATAAATTTTTTTATAAATTAGGGGCAAACACCCCCTATTCAAAGTGATGGTCTTGAGCTTCCATCATCAATGAAAGCTTGTGCCAGGTACTTGAGAATATTCAGCTCCTTGTATCAAAATTCTACAGCTGTGCAAAACTCAAATTTTGATGGCATGTCTGTAAAATTTTGTACAGTCATGTCACACCTATTTTCATGGTATTGCTGAACAATTTTGAACAACCATGTCTATTTTCATGAGGAGAGGTGTAAAATGTTGTGCAGGCTGTGGTCATTTAAGTCAGCAAATGAATGACATCTATGTAAGAAAACTTGGAAATAATGGTAAATCATTATTCACTCTTGAGGGTAGATGTAACAGGAAAATTAAAAAGGCTTTTCAAGAATGTCATGATCTGTATTATATCAGTTTAGCTTTTGTAATAAAAGTTATCATACATGGCACAAACAATGAAAGCAGTTTATTTTGGTTGTGGGTATGTTTATGGGTACTTGATTCATTAGAGGATTTGTGTATGAAAGTTTGCACAGTTCAGTTCTTTTAGTGGCAAATTCCTGACAAGATTTAAAAATATAAAATAAGAGCAATAAAAACCTCATTTAAGTATCTATAAGTTCTCTGAGATTTAAGAATGGATAGTAGAAAAAGATCTATGGAGACATTCTGGTCAAGTATAATCACTCAAGAAAATTACTATCCTGTGCTTTTCTGGCAACAAACTATAGAAAATCAGGGGATAGAAATAAGATAACGCAGGCAAAAGAGATTAGATAAGTCAAGTGCATCAAGCTTATGTGGGTAGTTTCCATCACATACAACCAACTTTCCTTGTCTGTATCTTCTGTAAAGCAAAACATTTATAGGAGTGTTATTTAAGTCACATCTGTGGTGGTTAAATTTTGTTCCTATGGTTTCAGTATTGTTATACTGTATTTATGGTTTTAGGAATTCCATTTTCACTTTATCTCAAATTGTGTTGTGCTCTCAGCAGGGTGATCTGGGTGAATTGCCCAAAGATGTAAGCCTCCAGATTTGTGCTTGTCCTCAACACTGGGCATCATTTAAAGGAATAAGAAGAAACATGCAATTCAAAACAAAGTTGTTACAATGCATTAAATATGGAATAATGCTTTACCTGGTGGTGTCATTCCTGTCTAATTATCACTCAGGGATTGAGAAGCTCCACCAATGTTTTGGGCACCCATTGGCTCTATGTCCACTTGGTCTCATTCCATCAAGTATGCATGTTGCCTCAGTGTTTCATCATTTATTATTTCTGAACTGTTTCAGATTACTGTTTTTCAGCTTATGAGAGAAGAATTCATTCTGGAGATGATGGTGGCTATGAAGTAAGGCTGGAGAATACAACCTGGGAGGAAGTCATTAACTGGCATCAAGATGTGCTAAATGGTGGAAGTTTTTCTCCAAAAACTTGCACTTCTGCTTACAAACTGGCATTGATTGTGCCTTACAGAGACAGAGAAGAGCATCTCAAGATTTTTCTATTGAATCTCCACCAGCTACTCAAATATCAGCTCATGGAATACAGGGTATTCATTGTGAACCAAACTGGTATGAATTAGATTTTACCGTCAGCCAAATTTTGGTTAAAGCACTTTCCCTGTCAAGAAAATATTCTTTGATTATAAGAAACCTACCTTTAGTGACTTAACTCAACTATAAAGAATAACATTAAAATTGAAGAAGTTCAATATTGCACTGAAATGAAAAGGCCTGTTTCCATCAGTTGCACTAATATGATTTTTTGCACATTTCTCCGCTTCAATGTTTGGTGAAGCATTGATAATTTTCTTCGCTGTAATGCAACAAAATCCATTTCATCTCACAGATGACCTCCCATTCAACAGGGGGAAGTTGATGAATGTTGGAACACTGGAGGCAGAAAAGCTGGGGAATTATGATTGCTTCATTTACCATGATGTTGACTTGATTCCTGAAAATGGCACACTGCCATATCAATGCTTTGCATGGCCAATTCATATGGCTGTGTCAGTGGAAAAGCGCAATTACAAGTAAATTTTATACAAACTGAGATATATATATATATATATATATATATATACTGTATATATATAATGTGTCTGCGTTTATGTGTTCTTGTGTATGTTTGTGTGTGTGTGTGATGTTTATGGTGGGCTGCTGAATGACACATGACTTTGATAAAACAAATGTGCTTAACAAAATGTAATGAATAAATAAATCATTTTTCAATTTTTTGCAAATCATGTCCCAGGCAAAAATGCAAAATAGTTTATAAAGGCAACTAATGAGTTTGGAATTTATCTGATCGAAAAACCGGAAAAACTCAAAGCTTCAACTTTTTAAGCTGTAAACTCTTAAATATTGCAAACATTAGAGAGCTTAAAGTTCTAAGGATTAACTCAATTTAAAAATTTTTGAAACACAAAATTCAAACTTCAGAATTTTTTTGAAGTACATTATTGGTTTTAAATGGCTGCTAAAGAATTTTAGGGAATGAATTATAACTATTTGATTACTGTGTATCCTGATGGAAATCACGTTTTTCCACAAGTGCATTGCTACATAGAAAAACTCACAATGGAATAAATTAATTTTTTATGGTGCAGACCCACTATGTTTTGTCTTCTTGACAAATTCATTCATCCCTGCAGAGTACCAGCTCGATTTACCTATGCATCTGGAGTGCTGAGTGTTTCAAAGGAAGCCATTTACATAATTAATGGACACAGCAACAATTTTTGGGGCTGGGGCTCAGAAGACAATGATGTCTACAACAGGTGAACCTCAATTATATTTTTCCTCTTTCTTGGGATTTTTTTAATGCATAGAAATTTTTTGGGTGTCTGCCAAAAAAGGTGTTCACTTTTTATATTTAGTCCCATAATTTCAAAAATGGTAAAAATATCCTAGATTAAATTAAAATTTCTCTCACATTTTATTTTTTTCCAGGTTCATTGATGCAAATTTCCCACTTATGAGGTACCCTCCTCATGTAGGAAGGTACAGATCACTACCTCATGTTCAAGCAAAGGCGAACCTCAATCGGTAATATTTCAATAGCCAGCAGTGATACTCAAATTTAAAATTAATTGATGGATTAATTTTTTAATTTCCCCATATTGTTGCAGGCATCAAATTGCAAAACAGGAGGATGCCAGAAAGCATGACAATGGGCTTTCTGATGCAAATTACACTGTGATGGACATTCGATTTCATGAACTGTATACAGTTTTTGATGTGTACTTGGGATCCAATACAACGCATATCTGATACAGTGGTGAATACCATGCTGTAAAAAAGTCTCATAATTCACTTCTCTGTGGATTTCCTGAAGGGAAAAACTGACATATGAGGGTTTTAACAAAAGTTCTCGGAGTAGCAATGAAAATGGCATACAATTGAGCTGCAAAAAAATTTTATTCTCTAGCCAAAACATATTCTTTGGCACACACAAAAAATCAGCCCGGTTTGACAATTTTGTTTAAATTTTTTGCAAAATTCTTCCATATAGAGTTTTGCACAAGGAATTACACATTTCCACACAGACTCATTTTGGCATGCTGGATTTTTGGGCATGGACTTGAAATGATCTGAACACCAGCAGGGGTTTAAAAATATTTTTCTCATGTTCACTAGTTCAAAGAGGTTAGGCAGACACCTTCTCACACGTCATCACCACCAATTTGTACATACTTCTCAGCCCTTTTCATCCATGTGTTGAAATAGGCCTTGAAATGTTAAATTTTGAAGCTTCCCCAAAACAGCAGCAACAACTAGCTGATTTGTGCAGAGCCATGTAACCCCTTGTATGCCCCATTCATAAACTAGCAAAGAGAACAGAGATACTGATGACCATAGTGAGATGTATTTCTTTGTTCTTCCCATTTAATCAGTTACATATTTTACTTCCTTTATTCATTTCCATAAATGTAGCACATTTTGCATACTTAATGATATATTGTATCAATGGGGAAAAATAGATCAGCAAAAACAAATGTATTTCACAATTCTTGATTTCCAGCAGAATACAATTGGGGCGCGTTCACATTCAACAAGCACTCAATGCTATATACAGAAACTTCAAAAACCCAGCAGCAAAAATGCTGGATGCCTATAAATACAAATACTGTACAGTACAATGGTGATTGAACAACTAAAACCAAAGCACAAGAAGTAAATGAATGAAAAACTCATATTTTAAAAATAAGTGATGAATTTTTTTCATTTTTCTCTACATTTTGACATTACATGGGATCATCAGTGATTTGAAAAATGCATGTCTGCACTCCTTCAATATTGACCTGAAATAATATCCAGAATATATACATAATGTGAAAACAAACTTTTTGGAGCTCATCCCTAGCTGACATGACCCATTTCATCTTTGGCTCCTCCCAAAATTTTCAGCATTTCTCCATGAATTTCTTTTGGCAACCTTGTGTTCTGGACAATTTCTTGGAGGAGGTTGATACTCTTGCATCTCTGGGTAACCTGGTACAAAATTAATATCCTGCAAAGTTAAAAATTCAAATCAGACATTGTTTATACCTCTCTCTGTGGATTGAAAATATATTCTGCTGATTATTTATTTATTTTTCATATCATAAATTTACCCCAATCAATTCGCCGGCTTCATTCAGGCAGACTTCCAAGACAGTGTTTTGCAGCCCAGCCAGTTTTTGAAACATTTCCACAGTTTCTGGTCCCCAAGGTGAGAATTTTCTATCCAAGAACTGATTCCAAGTTGTGTTTGCATCCACCATCCATTAAAGTGAATTCCTAAGTGGAATCAACATTTGAGCAATATGTTGTGTTTGATGGGCCAGAAAAATTAACATTGCATTTGGAAATGTATCAGTTGAACAAGAGTCTTGATTTTTCAAAGTTGAAAAGGATTGTTGTGTTACACCATCAATTCTATGGCTCATAGGCTAATTTCCTAACTTTTGCCAACCTTCAAGAGGAGGATTGGAAAAGGTGTGGACAATTTTTACTTCTAGATTTGCTCCCTTTATTGGGCATGCACGCTAACGTACAATATAATACCTAAAGTTTGTAGAAATATCCTCCCCTCCTCAAAATCGCAGTGTCAGGCACATCCTGGTACCTGCTACGGTGTCAGGATGTGCCTGGCACCTTAGCATCCTCAACAATTACTTTTTCCTGTCTTCATTGGAATAGTAAAACCTTATTAAGGTTATTTATTGTGAATATTATATAAGCCGCATCCTCATATTCTCTCATTAGATCAGTTGCAATTCAGCTGTGAATTTATTCCAAGTTATTCAAGCCCAAGCTCGTTGAGTTGTTATTCATTTATTTGTTTATCCCTGAAATATATCTTACTCTTAAACTAGGAAATCCTAAAAGGAATCCTGGTCCTGTCCTGGACTGATTAACTTGTTTTATTCATCCAACACTCGACACTAAATTATATCGGAGACTTCTGTCCTCAATACCCTTCAAGTTGGGTGTGTCCCAATACTCCCAAACCAGGTACACAAAGTGCCTTTAAGTGAAATAGGGTAATTACACAATCTTTCTTCAGGCTTGTATTTTTATTATTCCATCAAAATATACTATACTGTATTGCATTTGGCAAATATATAACAATCTCTGCTTCTTTCAGAGGAATATAACCTTTAAAGATACAGGGGAAGATTTGTGTCCTTTTATTAACTTTTGAAGAGCCTCAAAGGAATGATGTTGCAAGGATTTGAATTGACAATGTGGGAGGGTAAAGAAAGCACAGATTTCTCTCAGCAACAGTGTTTTTGGTGGCCATTTAATATTCAGTTGGGGTTCCACCGCCAGCAGCAATTTATGGAATGAAAAGTATATATTTTAGAGAAACAGAGTTGACCTTGTGCAGCCATCCTGCATTAATGAGCAGGTGGCAGAACCAGCATTAAAACCCAGAGGGGTTTGAGGAAAGTTTGAAAAATTTAGCACAGCTGATAACAGGATACATAGAAGAGCCCTGACCCAATTTTCTGTTGACAGAAAATCAACTTTTCTCCAAATAAAGTGGGTCTTGCATGAGGAAACGAATCCACATTCCTTCATGGATGCATTTCTAAAGATTATACTGTACATGCAAAATTCTGAAAATGCCTAATTGAAATGTTAAAAAAGTTGATGTGTCTAAAAATGCTCAAAATGTTTGTGTGAATTTTGACACATTTTTCCCTAAATTCATAAACTAAAAAGAAACTCACCCATTGGGGTACAAGTCAGGGAATCCGAGTTCGGCTTGAATCGTGTCAAAATCAAACATGGTGAAGCATTTCAAAAGCTCTGACTTGGGATAGTAGTTCAAAAACGCGAGACACATCTCATCATCGGTTCCCCAACCACCAGATGTCACTCCAGTCTTTCCCGTGGAGTCCATGGTACATTCTGTGAGAGAAATAAATCTTTGTGACATTCGGTCTACTCTCATCATGAAAACAAATATTGCACAATCAAATATTGTATAACCATTATAGAATAATCTGTCGCATATTCAAGCTTTCCGTCAAATGCTGTGTGACTGCTGTACATCGGTAATCAATAATCAATGCAAAAATTTCAAAAACATAAAAAAAACGCAATCGTTCATCCTGGAAATCGAAAGACATTTTTGAAATTTTAAGCTGGTGATTTTTAATTTTGAAACTGCTGTGAAAGTGTGAATATATTCCAACTCGTCGTTGTATCAATTAATAATTCAGTTTCGAAGGGCAGAAAGTTGCACTGTTATCATGACCAATTTTTCAAATCGTAAGGAAAATTGCCACTGAATGAAAATTCAGTACATGTAAAATTTTCTCAGAAATACACGTCTGCTTAATGATACCCACCCAGGATGAGAATGTCTCCAGGGATCAGCTTTTTCTCCTCTGGGAAAACCCGAAATTCCTGGTACTCAAAGTCATAGTGGTCGTCATACTGGAACCAGGGTTCTTCAATTCCATTTCTGACCAGCCTCAGCTTCATTCGTCTCCCTGAAAAAAAAAAACAAGGAACAAGTTACGCAAAAAATTAAATCGAAGAAATCAATATGGCCCTGAACTTGTTTCAGTTTTAATTTTATGGAAAAAAATACTTGCCAAGAAGGTGTGAATGCAATTGGCCTGAAAACACTGTGATCCCATCTGAAGGCAGGCCATTCTGAGTGCACTGGGCAGTACAGATAGCTGAAGTGGTGAAGCTTTTCTGGTTTGGAGGAATAATCTGACAAAGACGAATAAAGAATTTGTTTCAAACCTCAGAATACATTTGGATTATTTGTAGCAAATACCATTGATGCATTGCCACCAAAACTTGTATACAAGTGGTGCCCAAAAATTCAACCCTAATCCATTCCTGGTTAAGGGTATATAATTGCAAAGTGGTTGAATTGTAAGACAATTTCAAATGTTATGCTTTCAACATCAAATTTGACATTTTGAGTCTCCCTACAGGTTGAATTGCACAGAAAGAGGTCAAATTGCAAGTCAACATCCCAGAAAATTTGACTGCTGTCAAATTGTGGGATGGTCAAATTGCAGGATGTCAAATTGCAAGGTACCACCTGGACTGTTCTGCTGGTACCACCTGGACTGTTCTGCTGGTACCATGGAGCCCAGCATATGGACACCACAATATGTAGACAAGTTGACACAAATCACTTCAAATAAAAAAACAGGTTCTATGCTCAGAAAATGTCTCAAAATAGGAACCACTTTGCCAAAGTTTTAAAAAATTTGGAATTTTTACATGCTTAGATGCCCCTGGGACAAATTGAGTCAGTGCCATATGGACAAAAATTCAAGATAAAGCGGAATTGGACTTGTTTTATATAATTTCTAAGCAGGCTAGTACCTTTTGTTGTCTGTAGACCAAGTTAAGTGAAATGTACAAGTCCAATAAAAATATATGCTTCCAAAATATATTCAGTAAACAAAATATTCATACAATCACACAAGCATAAATATTCAAAATACAGAGATATTTAAGGAAGTCTTATTGCTAAAACATATTGCAAGCCTTCCTGATGAGAAGTAACCCCAAATGACTCTAGATTAATTCTGGGGAAATATGTGGGAAGGAAGGTATAATTATACCTTCCTGGAAACATAAAATATAGAGGTGGAATATTTGTCTAGATTGAGGAACTGCAGGTTCCTTGAACACTGATGAATATATACATCCAGGTATAAATATATATATTGCAATTAATATAAATAACATATGCACTTGCGAGTTCAACAGAATAGGTTCTTCTACACTGGCAGTTTAGAAAGAGGCAGTGAAAGCTATTTGTCACTGCTGACAAATAGCAAGTTGAAAAGGAGAAACACGCATAAACAACTGTCATGCATTAATGTGGGCTGACGTGAGCAAGGGGGAACCAAAACAAAAGGGGAACAGCTGCAAGGAACCAAATACCTTGTTGAGAAGGATCTCCTACCAAATAAGGAGAAAAGAAAATAATTGCAATTTGGTTTCTGGATTACACTCTCTATTTCTAAGGTTTATTTCCCATCCAATGTGGATGGTGTATAAACACATGCTTTTGCCTTTTTGACTCCATTTCTAGCCAAAAGGGCAGTTCATGCTTTGTGCTGTGAAGCTAAGCCAAAAATCATTTTCATGTACATTTCCATGTAATTGATGTTCTGACTTTGGTAGATTCTTTTTGTTGACATTCCCATCCAATCTTCACTTATTCAACCACTTAGCCAAAAATCAACTTACCTGAATTGGAGTGACTGACATCCCAAGCTCCAAAACTCCCATTTCCTTTGGTCTGATGACATCTGTATAGAAAAAATTCATCCCTGAAGAGTCCACAAATGTATCAAAAGTTGGGTTATTGTAGTGCATCTCCATCATAAGATAAGATGGTCCTTCTGACCTCAGCTTCATTGGGAACCCAATATCCCCAGGTTACATAAGGGCCTTTATAAAAATGAAAATGTTCTGTTCAAAGATGAGGAATATTTTTTCTCTTTAAAATGCCTGGACTTGAAATTTGTGAGGTTTTTCCTGAACTATTCAGAGTATTAACATAATAATGGTACATATGAAAAAATGTGCTCATTTTAAATTTAAAGGATGTCCTCTGGCACTTCCTCAAAGTCATGATGATAAAAATGGGAATAATTTTGAAATCACAATCAGCAAGGGGAAGATAGAGACAAATAACTTCTGAATAAGTCACATATGTTGATACAGTGAACCCCTGCAAAACTATTGGGCACAACTGGCCACAATATAAGTTTATGGTGAGTTGTTTATAAATAAAAACAAAAGATTCAGTCTGGGAATTCTTATGAGTTGAAAGAGGAATAATATGTATTTCACACAAGAGTAAATACAACTTGACGAGCTCGGGCTTGTGAAAAACTTTGAGTAAAAGCTAATACACACACCTTTATTCAACTCTACTGAACTTCTTCTTGGGAGCAACTTATATTAATAATTAATTTATAGACCTTCACAAAGTTCTAACAACAGCGTGCATGCCCAACATAAACAGACCTCCTGCACAAAAGATTTTTGCAAAACAGACTGCCTCTTGAGGCAGTTTCTTGCATAAGAGATAAATTCCGCATAACTGACTTCAGTCTGTACAAGTGTGTGCTGCCAGTGGACATGAGTCCCTCACTCCCCCTTTGCTTGCCAGCTGAATTTGCATAACAGGCTTTTCACATAACAGACTAGTCTGTATTGCACAAATGAAGTCCATTATTCAGGGGTTGACTCTACTCACTTTGCAGATTGGTATGCAAGTATAATTCCACAGATATATTACCTCTCCTCCAACAGCCCATGCTATAAAAACTGCTGTGCACCTTTGCCACAATGCAGGCATTTGGCTTCCATAGCACTCTGCCATTTTCCCAACAAAATGATCCATGAGCTGCTCTTCTTGCACATTCTCAAAGAAGCATTGATACACCAGCAGGTGGTGAATGTACTGCATATTGCGGGACTCAAATTTTGGTGCATGCTGCAATAATACCATTCAAGCAGAACCGTAATCTTCAATGGGAAACTCTTTCCATCTTACACCTATGATGTGGTGTTTTGTGTCAACTTCAGGAATTTTATGTATGGAGCAGATGTAAGTTGTATCCTTTGTGCCATGAATTGTAGCATTTGGGGTGACAATGCCAAATGACTTAGTTGTAGCAGGATCTGGTTCAGAAATGCCTGCAAGAACATGTTCCAAAAATATGCTGAGATGAAGTGAATATGGAATGAAAAGTCAACTTCAGCATAAGGGGTTGTTATAGTTACACATATGTAACAATTGTATTATAAAAATGTATTTAAAACCCTGAAAGGAAACTCGAATTTAGGATGCGCGCAGCTGCAGATATTTTTGTCCTTCCTGCACTCAACCCCAGACCCCTGAGGCGTCACCACCTGTTGGGGGCCAGGACATAGTTAAAAGCATCCTTGGGAGCAGCTGCTCTACCAAGGGGATATTCCAGGAAGTCCAATAAAACAGAAACTCTGAAAAAATTGGAAGAAAGTTAAGTGGTTGCCCACTGAGAATTTCAATTTGCAGTTGGACTTTCTGCCTAAAAATAGAAGCCCTCCCATTGAAAATTGTCTAGGAGGAAGATTTAAACCTTCCTCGCCAGGCATCCCAGTTGTTCTCTGTGCATTTGTACAAGATTTATTTTGAACATTTGGCAAATTCTGATGGGGCTTTTAAGTGCATTTCCACTCATTTGTGTGAGTGTTTTGCAGTTGTTCAAGAAGCTTTTAAGCTTCCTGGGAAGGGGGAAATTGAGATGCATAAATTTGGGTGTTTGAAAGAATAGACAGCAGAACAAGATCAGAACTCAAGAAGCAAGGCAGCAAGTGTGTGTGCTACAAGAATAAAACTTTGTACAAACTTGAACTCAAGACTTTGAAGATTTTTTTACTTTGCATTGGACAGCATTACAGTCCAACACTTGAACACTCTAAAGGAAGATCTGGTGGAAAGTTGTGTGAGAAAGCAACAGCAGGAGCAGAAGGAATTTTCCTACAGTTCATTTGCAAACTCAAAGCATCAGAAATATTCTACACACATACTTGGTGGAGGATCAAGAAGGTATATGGATGCAGTTCCTCTGTTTCCCTGATGGTAAAATGGATCATCACCTTCTGGATCAGTTTCTCCAAAAGCATAAATGACTCTGACTGTGTCAGACTGAAACAAGAAAAAAATATTTATAGACTAAAGCTGTTTTCTTTGGGAAATACAACGTTGTTTTCATGCTGAAATATTTGCCATTTTATTTCTTACTTGGATGAAATAGTCCTGATCCAAGTCACAGGTGTCAACCTTTCTTGAGAATCTGCAAATTGTATGGGTCCCATTTTCTGTGGCTGAGATCAAAGTGTAGTCTTGTGATGCATCCAGTGTAGGCAGACCAGGTTGATTTGCATGTCTGTCCTGAAACATAATTCAAACATTAGAGAAAATGGCCGATTTGTTTAGGATTGCTAGAGCCTTTCAACAAGAATGAAATCATGCATTTGAAAAGGAGGACTTTTTCTGGAAATCATTTCAAAACATAAATTTGGAAACTCATTCATTCTATGGAATGTACATATTTGATAAAGGGGAAGTAAATGCATATACAGTAGTGAGAGCCCAAAGTATGGACACCCTGACATATGGATGATTCAAGTTGGGGACACATGAAATGTGAAAAAATCAGACGCAACATCTTGATATTTGGACACTTTTCCAACATTTCTGAGAGAATTTAAAATTTTCACTTTTCAAAATCCCAAACATCTTAGAAATGCAGCTATTCTTGTTCATAACAGTCAAAATGAATTTTATTAAAAATTCACTGAAATTCATAATAAAAAAGATAAATTTTTATTCTTTTTTGTGAGTATTCTCCATCATCTGTGCACAGTACTGTATACTTGTATCAAGACTTGTACTGTTTCTCTGCTTTTTGCCCTTCTGATGGTAGAGAGATCAGATTCTGTGTGGTTCTCTTCTATACAGTTATATTCTGTGTCTTTTCAATTGAGAAAGACATTTTATTGAAATTTCAAGGGGATTGTTTTCCAAATTTTTATTAACTTGAGGTCTCACTGATACATGATGTGCATAGTACAGGCATATCATATTTTTCAGAGACAATTTGATTCTAAAAGTTTTGCCATTTCATGCCAAAAAAGCAATATTACATTTTTGTTTGCATTGAAAGCCAAATTATGGAAAATGAAAAGAAACTTGCATGGAAATGTTGGACTCCATCCTTGACCCAACATGTGACAATGTCTGCTCCACTCATGCCACCATTAGGACTGAAACCCACTCCAACCCAACCAGTGACCTGTGCTTGAACTTCAAACAAAAGCTCTTGCTGTTCCTTGTCATAATTCCAAAACAAGTGGATCTTGCCATCTTTGATTTTGTCCAAGACTGCATGTCGTGTCCATTGCGTGTCATCTTGTTTTGGTCTCACAGCAGCGACATCTACACGATTCTTATGATTAACACTGCTTGAGGATGCCCCGGGCAACGCATGAGATGTAGTAGCAGTAACAGCGATCACCAGGAAAACAAAATATAAATTTGACATTTCCTCGCACTGCTCTTGACTGAAATAAAACAAAAAATTGAAATTGCGAGTAGAAATCTCTCCTTCGTAAGCAAGTCTCATGCCGTTGTTTCACAGCATATATGTTGGGGAATTTAGTCACTATTTTATTTTCTCCGTAACACTTGAATTTTTTCGTTTGCATTGTAGTGACATCTATTCGGAAACCGGCAGATTCAGCTTCATTCGCAAAAGTTACAAATGCTGTCACTGCGTCTATTTACAATTGAACTCTTCGCATCACGTACACGAGTAAATTAAATGTCATTAGATTCGACAAGTGACTTGTTGACCCCTGAATGAAAAAAATGGTCGCGAAACAGATATATTTTTTTTTGAAAAAATCTACTTAAATTGATTTTATAAAATTTTGAATATTCGAAATCAAGCGGGTCCGTGTTTTTTGACGATAATACTCAGAGTTTACGTCATTTTCTTCAACTAAGATAAACAATCACAGAACTGGATCGTCCACTTATCGTTCACGGAACATTTTCGTATCTGCGAATGAAAGAAAAAGCGCTGCATCATTTCAAAGATTATAATCAGGCTCGAAAGATACGCTTTCTTCATTCAAAAGGTCCAAATGAAAATCATCTCCGGATAAAGTTCTCAGAATTTAATCCCACTTCCAAACGATCAACTAAAACTCCATGCATTTCCTGCAGATTACAAATTCATATATGACTTAATCTAAGTCATAAACATCTGACTGTTTTTTTTTTAGCTGCTTTCTGTCAAAGTCTTAAAACTTGCAGTTAGTTTGAAAGCCGTCAGCAAACTTTTTCACCGGCAACCAGCGGCGGTAAGAGCCCTTACGGTTGAAGTTCGAGAAACAGTAAAGTTAACCTTGAGAACCCGGGGATTTTTTCGTTGGACAATCCCTTGGTGGGGGTTCATATTCCTGCATATCTGGGTATCCAGAAATGCTTTCTGCATCCTGAAAAATAAAACGCAGTAGCAAAATAATCAATAAGTCAGGAAGAATTAAAATGCATTGGATTCAATAACGGGCATTATTGCTGTCCAGGGATGAATTGATAATTTAAATTACGGAGGTTAAAAACTTCTTGGGGAGATTTTATTTGACAAGGTGAACTATAGTAAGTCATCATTCAGATTTTTTCCATATGGAACTATACCTGGAAATTAATTCGATCAATGTTCCCCAACCCCTTTGGGGCTTATAGGGACTGGCAAATTTTGATACACTCCTTTGCAGACTGGCCAATTTCAAAATATTTTCTACAGAACAGCAAAGTTGCACAAAATTTTTGCAGATGCAAAACCCAGTGCATATATGCAATTAATGGCAACAACCAGTTATTTTTTTCAGTTTTATACACACTCATATTGAAACCAAGTACACAGCTTTTGTATTGGATTAAATGGATGACCAGGATTAAAAAAAAATAAGCTACTGAAATTAATGTTCATCAAAGGCCCTGCTTCTTGACACATATGCCAAAATAATTCATTAAGAATAATAATGACTTTTGATGAATGAAATAAATAATATCAAATAATCTTCAAAAATAACTATAAGAAAGCAATAGTAAATTAAATTTGAATCAAAAACAAGTTTTCTGCCATTTAAATATATGTTGAATCATTCCATGATGAATTAAATCATTCATCAATTGAATGATATGTTGAATTGAAACAAAGTGCACAGCTTTTGTAATGCATTAAATGGATGACCAGTATTTTTTTTAATGATTAAGCTACTGAAATTAATGTTCAAAAAAGGCCCTGTTTCTTGACACAGATGTCAAAATACTGCATTAAGAATAATAATGACTTTTGATGAATGAAATAAATAATATCAAAGAATCTTCAAAAATAACTATAAGGAAGCAATAGTAAATTAAATTTGAATCAAAAACAAGTTTTCTGTCATTTAAAAATATGATGAATCATTCCATGTGCTGGTATAGCTGTTCAGCATGAGTCTATCTCTCTAAGATGCTTAGAAAAAAGTATACATTCCAAGTAATCTTCAATTGCTAAATCAACAGACTTTCAAAATAAATGAACAAATCTCTGAGAATAAGATGTCATTTTTACTGAGGCCTCAGTCTAAGCATATATATAGAGACTCTAGCGTTTTCAAGCTATAAAAATATACAAGAAGTACCTCAATGACGTTACTGCCCTCATTGAGGCAGAAACCAAAGGACTGGCTTATTTGCAGAGCGGCAATTTGCTGGAACATGTCAACAGTTTCCTGGCTCCACGGGGCGTACTTATTATTTAGGTATTCTTTCCAGGTAGTGTTCTGGTCGACCATCCAGGTGAGGGAGTTTCTATAGAAATAAAAATTGAACACAAAAAAATTAAGAAAATAATAAAAGAGATGATTCTCATTTCCCCTGATGTGTTTGACAAAGGTAAAGCATTGGTGAATTTTTTTTCTCATATACATATAGCTAAGGATACAACATATATATAGTCAATTTTAAACCTGGAAATTGATTTTCTGTTTCAAATTGTCAATGAAACCTGCTTTTGAGAAAGCATATATAGTCCTTAAAAAAGGAAGCCCAGATAAATCGCTTTAGCAATAATAAGTAGACAGGTAAATATGTTATTTAGAATAAATTAATGGCCCAAAATTAAAATTCAATTGGATGTTGGTCATTTTTTTTACCAGAAATTACTTTTACAATGGTACTTTTACCCAGCAGGGACAGGGTTATTATATAATATAATAGCAGTAGAATGCAGTCAACCCCTGCACAACAGACCTCTCTCACAATGGATTTTTGCACAACAGACCACCTCTGGATTGAGGCTGTTTTCCTCCCCACTCAACAGACTAAATCCGGATATCAGACTTCTGTTGGTTTAAAATGTATGGTAAAAAAAATTGTTTTTTAATGATTGAATGGGCATACAACAGACTTTTCACACAACAGACTAGTCTGTTGCACAAATCAAGTCCGCATTGAACAGGGATTGACTGTACTAGCTGCTTATTGCTCCTGCGCTGCTTTTTCTCAGTAATTGTGTTCATTCCATTTCACTCATATATTCAGTGTTCTCAAATAAGAGAGTTACAAAGTCCTTAATATCCAAATTTATTCACCTTACTTTAAAATTTCAGTTAGAAAAGCTTTTTAAATTTCTATGATGAAAAGTGCATTGCTTCAACCTTAAACAGTATAGTAATCATTTTCACCATAAACTCATTTGTATGAAGAAAAGTAAAAATGTGTTAATTTCTTCTTGTGTAGAACTGATTCCAGACATTAAGGTGTTTCCCAAAGTTTAAAAGGGTTCACCATGATACAACATTCAATTGCAAGAACAGTATTGTTTTTTTTCAATGTTGTGGCAGTACTTACCCATCAGCAAACAGGTCAGGAAAGCCCATTTGGGCCTGCATCAAGTCAAAGTCAAAGAAAGTGAAACACCGCATGAGATCCGACCTTGGATAATAGGACAAAAACGCCAGACACATTTCATCATCTGTGCCCCAGCCCCCTGTTGTCACTCCTGTCCTTGCTGTGGAGTCCAAGGTGCATTCTGGGGAATACCAAAATATAAACAAAATAAGATCATTCCAAACAACATTGGGAAAATGCGTTTGTCTTTGAGTGATCACTGATAGGAAAATCCACAAGATGATGTGCTTACTTTCTCAGTTGGCTGGTACAGATGGACTCCACAACATTCTTGCATTTAACCATATTCTCTGTACATCAGTAAAATTAATTATTTGTGGTCCTGTCTGGGGTTCTCTTCCCATGTTATATAGGGGTTATATCAGCATTCCCTAACCCATGGTCCTTGGACCAGATCCAGTCCACAAAAGTTTTTTACTGATCTGTGGGAAATTTTCTCAAGCATGATAAACTTATGGATAAAACTATCAATGAAGGATGTTAAAGTATCTTTATTTGAAAATTTTGCAAGACAATTGCAGTTAAAATCATTTCTTGAAAATTAAGCTGGCTTTTTTCCTAATAAAACTTGAAGCAAATTTTCACCTGATGAAATACATGATTTTGATTTTACATTCTGAGAAATTTTTGTTCAACCCCACCTTTCTAATTTTTTTAAAGATATTCCACTATACCTGCTTCATTGGTTCTCAACTTTATTTTTTCTGCTAAAAAGCAGAGACTTTTTCAATACCTGCCATGGATGTATTTCAGGCAAATCTTTTTGAGTGTGCAACAATTTTTACAAAACTTTGCCAGTAAAATTTGTTGGTCTGCAAAAAATTCAGCACAATTTGCTGGTCTGTGTGCCAAAAAAGGTTGAGGATGAACACTGGGTTATAGGTTATATATATAGGTTAGGAGACAAACTTCAAAGGAACAGGACAAAATTTGATGTTGAGAGAATTGCTTTGAATTGAAATGAGTCCATATTTGAATCTAAACCTTGGAAAGAATTTAAGTTGAAAATTGACATTTCAGGGGAATAAAAAAACACAATGGAGGGAAAAAACATTTAGTCATTAGTGACTCACCAAGTATGAAGATGTCGCCTGGCAAAATTTTCTTTTCTTCAGGATAAACCCGGGTTTCTTGGAAATCGAAATCGTAATGGTCATCAAACTGGAACCAGGGTTCTTCCACGCCATTTCTGATC